CTACGTGCGATTTGCTTCTCCAACGACATGGAAGAAATCCTTTCCTAAAGAGGCTTGTCACTGGGGACGAGACTTGGATTTTATACCAAAATGTGCATCGAAAACGAACTTGGTCGAAAGGAAATAGTCCCTCGATTGTTGCGAAGCCACGACTTCGTCCGAAGAAAGTTCTTTCGTGCATTTGGTGGGACTGGAAAGGCGTAGTCTACCACGAGCTCCTTTCTCAAGGTGAAACGATCAATTCGGCTAAATATTGTAATCAACTGGATGAATTGAAAGCCGCCATAGCAGAAAAACGGCCAGAATTGGCGAACCCACGCGGCGTCGTTTTTCGTCGCGACAACGCAAAACCGCGTGTTGCGTTGTTCGTAAGACAAAAATTATTGCAGTTCGATTGGAACACGTTCTACCTCATCCTCCGTACTCCCCAGACATTGCTCCATCCCGATTATTACTTGTTCTTCTCGTTAAAAAATTCCCTCCGTGAAAAAAAACGGTTTAAATTCGTAAGCGAAATAAAAACGCACCTTGAACAATATTTTGCAAATAAGCCTCGACAATCTTGGAAAGACGGCAGCATAACGAGGCTTCCCGAAAGATGGAAGAAGGTAACAGAGCAGAACGGTTCATATGTAACTCGATAAATCAACCTTAAACAACAAATATCGTGTAATCACTTCGCATCAGAAAAAAGGAAAGAACTTATGGGACACCCTAATAATAAAGAAGTTACGTAGAAGATGATCTTAGGGGCCACTACGTCCTCGCATTTTGTTCGAAACTTTCTATCGTATCCTCGCCCTAAAATTCTCACGATATCGCGGCAGTCTGATCAATTTTCGTACACCTTCAACGACTAGGATCGCGAAGCTCGGCTAGTTGGGTCGCTAACAGTATCTTTAGACTTCAGACCTTTTTCGACTTCTTCCACCTCGCCGCCTCCCCTAACTTTCCCTATAACAACAGTAGGTTGTCCCGAAATACACATGTAAAGAAGTAAAAGCTTAAGGTAAAACATCGGCAAAAGGCGGCTGGTTCGACGAAAGCATCGCTCGGATCTTATAAGACACCTTGATCCTGCTGCGTTCTTCGTGCAACCTTGTCTACCCTAACTTCAGCAATGAATTCTTCTCTCGAACCACATTTTCTCGCAGGACCAAAATCTCTATAAAATATAGAAGAACCGAGTCGCTATGGCCGAGATTATTTGCAACGGTTCGCCGAAAGGATAGCCGGCGTTCCCGCCGGTTAAAATAGCACGAAAGTGAAGCGCGTTCGTCGCGAAAATAAATCCATCTCCGCCATCGCGAATGGGAATCCATAAAGGCCCCAAGTGTCCGTGGTTGAACGGAGGTCGAGCCTTCGACTCCGAGCGATTTTGAAAGCTTCTGTCTAACTCAAGGTAAGTCAAAAGGGTCCGAAAATATCGGCTGACGCATCCGCGCGACGGATATTCTCTTTTCTTTTTTTTTCTTCCTTTCGTTCTCGTGTTCATCAGCTTTCCTCGACGGTCTCGGCTCTTCTCGACTGGCAGAGAATACGCCCCGCCGGAATCCGGCATTTTATTTCCGTTGCAGTGTCAAAGCTACCCGTCCCGTCCGTCTAGTTTCATTTCCATGTTTCTTGCTCCGCCGTGTGCGAAATTTCGCTCTCGAACACCGAGAACAATCATCCTCAACAATATTCAAGCATGATCTATTATATGTATTTATATTTATTAATCTTTTTTAGGCACGACGCGCCACTATAGTGGCTTCCGCGGATGTCATCTTTCAGAATGACACGCCACTATAGTGGCTTTCGCGGATGTCATCTCTCTGGACGACGCGCCACTATAGTGGCTTGGCTCTAGTAGCTCACTCGCTCATCGTTCGAATCAAATAATCGTCTACATATCCATTGTTTCACACTTCTTTTGTCTTCGCATCGATTTACAACAGTCTACAAGGTGTTCGAAAAATGTCTCGCAATCCGGAAATGGCGGGTTCCTCGGATCATTCGAAGCAACTTCTTCCTTTACAAAAATGTTCTCCGAGGCACCGTTAACGAGTTACTAACGAAAAACAGTGAATAATAATAGAATAGAGTACGGCTGATGCGAGGCGGCCCAGCCAACCAGCGCGCGAAGCCCAGTTCCGCTCATTGGCTCGATCGCCTCGCGCCAGCCGAGCTCGCCTCTCATTGGTCACTGTTTCTCGTTAATAACTCGTTAACGGTGCCTCGGAGAACATTTTTGTAAAGGAAGAAGTTGCTTCGAATGATCCGAGGAACCCGCCATTTCCGGATTGCGAGACATTTTTGGGACACCCTGTATATACTGTCTCTTATACACATCTAGATGTGTATAAGAGACAGCTGTATATACAGTATCAGACTCTGCCGTCCAGAGAAATAGCCTCGCGCAGAATTCAGCCTGTCTCTTATACACATCTAGATGTGTATAAGAGACAGCTGTATATACAGTATCAGACTCTGCCGTCCAGAGAAATAGCCTCGCGCAGAATTCAGCCTGTCTCTTATACACATCTAGATGTGTATAAGAGACAGCTGTATATACAGTATCAGACTCTGCCGTCCAGAGAAATAGCCTCGCGCAGAATTCAGCCTGTCTCTTATACACATCTAGATGTGTATAAGAGACAGCTGTATATACAGTATCAGACTCTGCCGTCCAGAGAAATAGCCTCGCGCAGAATTCAGCCTGTCTCTTATACACATCTAGATGTGTATAAGAGACAGCTGTATATACAGTATCAGACTCTGCCGTCCAGAGAAATAGCCTCGCGCAGAATTCAGCCTGTCTCTTATACACATCTAGATGTGTATAAGAGACAGCTGTATATACAGTATCAGACTCTGCCGTCCAGAGAAATAGCCTCGCGCAGAATTCAGCCTGTCTCTTATACACATCTAGATGTGTATAAGAGACAGCTGTATATACAGTATCAGACTCTGCCGTCCAGAGAAATAGCCTCGCGCAGAATTCAGCCGTACCTAAAAGGTTAAATACCTGTAATTTACAAATATCAGTTTGCATAGAATCGGAAAAGGAAATCCACCCTCAAACGGCTCGCGTAAGGGTTCGTTCGAAGCTATAATGTTCGTCTAATAATTTTGAAAAATTGCGTGGTTCTTATGTATCCTGTGTCACACAACGTGACATTGACATCGATGGATTTCAAGAGCATGCACAATAAGGGTCTGCGGTGTACTCTGATGCACGCGTCGCTAAAACATTCGAGATCCAGCCATTCCCGTGCGAGAAGGACCTACGCACGTGGAATTGTGTAAGAGCAGTGTCGCGTGGGTGTAGGTGCGTGTCAAAGAGCTTTAACGCGCTCAACCGGCCAGACACCATGCACGCAAGTTATGGCATACGTCGTTACACGATTCTCGTTCGTTCGTGCACGAACAGCTAATGAATACCCATTACTATACCACCTCAAAAAGCCTCAGCGTATTATAGAAAAATCCCTTTTTGCATAATTTCAACATTTTTCAGTGTTAAATGATGGTTGAACAATGATAATAAATAGTATAATAATAATAATAAAAAGAAGAGGAAACTGTAAACTTTGGTTCAATATTTTCGTTTGTACCTTTATTACAAAAATAATGCCATTTGTGTACACAGTATCTCGCGAAAGTATTCGAACAGCTTTTGTAACGCAATGACTTTAAAAATTGAACAAAATTATTCGAACTTTTTTAGATGTTAAAGGAAATTTTTTGTCGACGATTGCAAATAGACAGAATGACAAATAAAATAAAAATATCCCATGCTTTTTAATTTTTTAATTTGAGCCCAGAACGAACATTTAATCAATGCGTTTTGTAGGTCTCGATGATTTATATGCATGCGGAAAATTTTATCGAAATTGGTTCACGCTCACACAGAATTGTGCTTCTTATAACAATGTCAATCGATTTCGATTGAATTCCAAGCTCAAATAAAAAAGTTCAGAAACTTAATTTTCTTACTTTGTTTGTGCTTCTAACTAATGACAATCTTTGAAAAAATTTTTCTCAGATATATAAAAAATTTTTAAGAAGTTAATTTTAGAAGGTGTCTCTAATTTGAATTTCGTGTATGGGGTGACCTCATTTATACCAATTGCAATCGATCGAATCATAATGTATTTTCTTCCAGAGAATCACGGGACACCCTATATAACGAAGTTATTTTGCGCAAGCTGAATCTCTGAGGAGAAAGCTCGAATGGTCTGCCGCTAAATTATTAACATAGGCGTATATCGTTGACGCGTGCAAAAGTCAATTGTCGCGGGACTATCGTAATTGTTATAAACGGGTCCCGGATAATCGTCTTCGCGGCCGTTACGCATTCATTAAACGGAATCTTAATCAACGCGAGCCGCGCTGCTACAGTTCCGAGCGGATGTGACGCGTGTAACGCAACCAACGCGTCACATTCGAAACTAAAAAATGCAGTTTCGAATTAAAAATTCTTGCATTTAAAAACACGGATAAGTGTGCGAGCGGCTCGGATCTTATAAACAGATCGCAATAAATGGTGGAATATTCTACGAACGTCGTTTGGGACAAGGAACGCTTGGCAAAAAAAAAAGGTATTTCTAAAAGTTAGTCGACTCGACTCGTCCGTTTAGGCAACTGACAGTCATCAAAACAAACAAGTTTTTCATCTCTGTATTCGCATTCTACCGTGGTCGTTAAATACTTCAACTTCTGACGAATAACTCACGATTTCAGATTGTAATTTAGCATTTATCGAATACATTCACATCCGTTACACGTTCGATGAATCGATTTTCCTTGTTCGCTCCTATCGACGGTCTTAACTTTTCATGTTTCTTTTCCAATATTTTCCCTTCAAATATAATAATATCTCCTCTTTTGAACCTTGACTAGTTCGATGTTTTCCTTCCAAGATTATGTGGACAATTTAAAATAGTCTATTAACACATTGACCACCAAGCAATTGTGCTAAAAGCATCGATTATGCTGTATGTAGTTACGTTTACTATAGAATACAACAAGCGTTTGATTATTTCTGTTCACCTTCGGACAGGTTCGTGTGCCGTCAAACGAGTCTCAAACGGTTCACAGATTAAAAACGGATATGTTTGGAAAAACGTTCGACGAGCCGCAGGATAAGTTACCTAACAGACACGTCGTAACACGTTCGAACCAAGTTGTTTCTAAAGCCGAGCGACGGCACACCAGTGAACATAATACATACGTGTTTCGGTGTAATCGAAAAACAACGATCTCGAACAGGTCCTTACAGGTGCATTCGAACCAGCTTGAACGTACGGAACACGCTGTCGAGGAACGAACACTGAAGAGGCGAAAGAATTTTACAAAATGTTTCTATACGCTTGCAAAAACTATCAGAGTTCTCCAACCAAGTTGCTCTTATATTTTCTGATCTGTAACCCTTTGTTTACCTAATATTGACAATAATAATAAACAACATGATGAACAATATCGAACCTAAAATGATTTCCAGGCCACGGAACCGCTGAACACTTTTCGCCTCGTTCCATGTCCAATAAGAATACTGATTTCTAATAAATAAAATGTTTAATACAACCGATCTTATTTCTAGCTCACTGAAAAATCAGCCTAAGGGACGAAAGTCGATTGAGCTGCAATTTTTCTAAATCAGTTTACAAAATGTAAGTTCGCGTAAAACGATAGTCTATCGATAGTCTCGTTTTTTGCATAAAGAAAATGAGATGTTGAAACAATAGTGACGTTACTTCGTTAAACATTGCCGATGCGTGTGTCACAAAAAGGATACGTTGCATTCGATAAAATATTTAACCAGCAAAGATTGCTGGCAAAGCAAGCCCGTCGAAGACGTTCTATGTAATATTTCGTTCATGACCCAGAATAAACAGCACCGAAAAACAAACCTGTGGACACGTTTCGTTTCGAATCGAAGGACAAGCTGTGCAAAACAAAACCTGTCTCTATTTTTTTCAAAGGAAAGAACGAATTAACGACTTTTTGGCGGATCGAACAGACATTCCGTTCGAAATGGTAACGATCTCGACGGAAATTCGACGAACATTGAAACACGGGTACGGCGGCGGTCCGGGAACGCGCGCGCAGCACGTAAACAAAGCCACGAGATCGAACGGGAAGAGAGAGGTTATGTGACGAACTGGCACTCTTACCACATCGTACATCCAAGCATCCATGGCATCTGTCGTTTCGTTTCTCAATGGCACAAACGGGCGCGCACTGTGTCGCGTCGTTTCTCTCGCACCTTTTCTTGCACGACGAAAAAACCGTAAACGATTTCACGAAAACTCCGGAACTCTTTGAACACGAACGAGCGAACGCGGATAGGCACGCGCGTGCGCGCACACGTATGCACGTACACACCACCTCCTGGCACACGACACGACGTTCACGGTGCGACGAGCCGTACGCGACTGACGGCCGATACGCCGAGGATACGGTAATACGCGAGGCGAGGCGAGCCGATCTTAACATTGACTGCCGCGAATCCGCGAAACGCGCCTTTACTCCGCTAATTACCTCATCGCAGGTAAGTACAGGGGGTTAAAACACGGGGGTGCTTGCAAATATCCTCCGTGATTTCAACCAAGTACGCTTGATGAACCCTGGAAAGCGTACGGAGACGACTTTCGCAGAGAAAATGAAACATTAGCCGCCAATTCGAGGATATTTCAGAATCCTGCTAGATGTTACTGCTGTACGTTACACGTAATCGTAACGGCTTTTAAGCTCTAAGTACACCGGCGACTGATTCGCGACCTATTTTATTTGAAATTGTGCCCCGACTTTGGAAGACAGAATATTCTGTGTGCCATACTAAACTATTAACACTAAACTTACCACCACCGATCAAATGACCAGTTTTATATTTTTGATTTCATAATTATTGAAGTCGTAAAGCTGCTTCCGTTAGACATTGTTGAATATATTTTTTCGTTCGGACACACACTATTATGAAAATTATGAAATATTCAAATAAATTCTATCTTGCAATTTTTATGAGGCAACACTTGTTACTCGCTTTTACACCTCGGCAGATATAATGTTAAAACTATTTCTTGTTAAATTCCAACGACTTATGTACCCACTGTGATGTATATTCGTTTATTGTTTGATGTAAAATACAGATCCCTGATCTATCGAAACTGAAAGAACCACGTCAACCGGTCATTATAACGACTACAACGATTCACCGCACTATCGAAACCATGAACAGCTAAATCATTGGTCACACTAGTCCGAGCACAGCTATTACCATTTTTCGCAGGTAAAAGCTGTCGTTGTGATCATCGTGCTCAAGACTAATCGGACATTAACACTAGAGTCAGGGCGTTTAGTCATTTTGAGGCTTCTCGTAGCTTTCCCTTTCATCTCCTTTTTTTAAGTCGTATTAATTAACCGTGATAATCGAGTATGCTGCTGAAAGTATACTTCGTGAGTTCCTAAGAAAGCACGGGGTAGAATTAAACGGAGGCATGAAGGAACCGAATTTTCAAAGGCAGTTGCGTGAATCGATCGAGCTGGAAAACCTTTCCCTTTCCCTTTCGGCTCGAACTCGACTGTCCGGCGGCCGGGTTCGTGTTGATACGTTACTGGCGTTATGCGTGCTACGTGTATATCAGGATGGTAGGCTATGTGGGTGTGAGACGGGGGCGGTGGCTGTGCTAGTGAAACGGAGGAGGCGGCGGCAGAGTCACTGGAGGCGGCGGCTAGTCGGCTGACGGCAGGAGGAGAACGGGAGGAGGGCTGGTGGCCTTGAACTTGACTGCCGCAGTTTTTGCACACAGCCGCCGCACGCCCAAAACAGCCCACCGGCGTAGACACCGAACTTTTCGTCAGCGGGAGCGCCGCGCTACTCGGATTCGGACAATTCTCAAGGTAATTAGTGATTCATCGCCTACGATCGAAACATCTCCTAATCAACAATCTCAAGAAAACATGTCATCGATAACTTCGTGTTGAAACAAAATTCCTTCGTTTACGAACTACACTCGTTCTTTTGCATAACGATACAAAGCTTCGTCCAGTTGTCGCACACAAATTGTTCGAATGTTCAAAATATGTTGATGAACAAGATAATTTTCTATCGAAATCCGACCTCTGGAAATTTGTCGATGAAAACTGGAAATTCTATGAACGTCCGCAAGCTCTTTGTCGTTGCTAATTCCGTACTACGTAGCAAATAGTTGAAAACAACGGACAAGAACAACAGAATCGTCAAAAAAAATTGAAGAGATTTCGAAATGGACCCAACAAGAAACGGACGACGGTCAGGTTAAATCGATCACTCTGTAAACCGGCAGATTTGTTGCGACAATCAAATTTCTTCGCACTGTAACGAAGGGAAATCCACTGATACAGACGACACACACAGAGAGTTATTTAATCGAAAGTTATTACCGAACTATAGCTACGACGTTAAGTGGAAAATCAAACAGTCTATTTGATTAGTCTAATCGAATGTCTGCAGCTCCTGTCAACATTGGATGCTAGAAGAAATACGGAAAATTTGCACGGATCGTGTATTAACGCCAAAACTATGAGAAACTCTGATGAAAGAATTGTAAAGGGCCAGAACGATTCTCAAAGGGAACGAAAAGCAACAGGCTCTCCTGATAATGAAATTACGTAAAGTTGAAAAGCGAGCGTGAAATCGAGCGAAACATGTCTCCCACAAATTCAGTATACGAACGTATACTGTACGCTACAGTATACACCATCGCGATCGTACCTATTGTTCAACGAATGTTTTCGAATGGATTATCCATTGCAAGAATCATTACGCAACTCTGTATTGCGTATTTTCGACATTTCCTGATACATTCGATACGGAAAACGAGCAAGCCGATCGGAGAAGATATTTGCATAAGATAACAAGCTGGTTTATCAATTTCTTAAAATAATTTGTTCCATTGCTACGAAGCGAGTCTTCTGAAAGTATTACGTCGTATAAAAAAAGAAACGATAATAAGGAGCTTATGACACTGAAATGACCGGTGAAATTACGACTACAGTCGATGCAGATAGATTAAAAACTAAATGGATCGATATGCCTGTCTGTGTGTCATGTGCAAGGTGCGCGAAAGTTTGTCATGTTTCGCTAAAGAAACTTCCATACACCGTGGATAGTCTCAGCTAATATCAAAATAAAACATACGTACTAAAATGTAATTATTGGAGATTTATTTAAGTAAATGGTACGTTTATAAGCAACGTAAAACTATTATAGATGTCAATTTTTATATTTATATCGTTATTAAATTTATCAGATGAATATCGCGATTGAATTTCGATTAACTCGTAATAAAATTCGGATTAGGTTGATATTTCCATAAAATTTTGTAATTTTGTTATAAGCTACTTGATAGTATAAATAATATATTGATAGTATAATTGATTATGCTTGATCGAATGTAATTCTCCAAAATGAAAAGTTAGATTGTCGGTAATAGGGAAATTCGTAGTTTCATCGGTCGGTATAGTCGCAAGTAATTGAAACAACATTAAATTCGTTTAAAATATGATCTTAAATAACCGAAGTGAAAATACCGAAGTTCACAACTTCGTGAAAATTATTAATATTGCTGACTTCCAAGTTGGTGCAATTAAGTGGAAAATAATGACGACAACATAAAAATATGTGTCACACTTATGCTATTACAAAAAGCGTTGGAATCGAGAAGACAGGAAGTATTTTTTTCGTAAAATAGTATCTCGATGATCCAAATATACGTTATGATCCAAAACCACACGTTTTGGATCGAAGTAGGTATGTATTAATATTCCAATAATAATTCGATATACATTCAAAAGTGGAGTGAATAATTAAAACTTTTCATATAGTTCATTTTACTGATAACTATCGTTATATCGGTCGGATAATGAGGGGACACTGAATAAGAATAAAGCCTCGAATTTTCGTCTATCGTCACATTCGATTTCATAACTCACGTTTTTTTGGTCGAAAAAAATCAAGGCCATAGCAGCCTTGTTGTGAAACCCGCGCACCCAATTTCGAAATCAGGAAACAAAAGGATACTACTCGGAACTTGACTAATTCGTTGCATAGGCACGAAGACAAGATTCAAGGAAATATTTGTATATGAACCACGAAATACAAAACAGTAACAAAAACTGTAATATACACAGCGACATGTAAACGAATTCGTAACAAAAATGGCGGAACAAAATTTGGCAGATCCTCGATGCCTGTGTACTTATCCTCTCCAGTGAAACACGGCATAGAATGGATAAGCAAATATAAAAGACTGAATGTAACACTCACTTTGAAATCTGTAATTGTTCACGTATCTCCATCGACGTTTGTATATTTTGGAACACAAGAAAAATATTGTAGCAATGGCCGACTTCACAAGTCACTAGAAGCAGAAAACTCGATGGTTCTGATTGTCGTGCGTGTGGCGCCATCACACGTTTACGAAATAAGACAAAAATCATATTCCACCAATATATCCGGTGCTAACCTCTAACGGAAAAACGACGTAATTCCATCCCCCCCTAACATAGCGATCGAAATCACTTGGAGCAATGTTCGAAGAATCAAATAAATAAACAACATCCCAGTTATGAAAATCATTAACTATGAACACTATAATTATTTCCTTTATTATCTGCACTGAAAATCTAAGTAAAACTTTACAAAAATATACTTTTTGTACTTTATTATGCGAAAGATAGATTCTGTATTCTAAGAAAACGTTTCAATAAATTCTCAGACTTTTGCAATCTCGCAGGATACACTGTTTGGATCCCATTTCCCAATTACGTTCGGTCGTATGCATAGTTTCGCGTATATGTATTTTTGCAATCGCTCCGGATTTAAGACAAGACATTCGTTCACTACTTTGCAATAGTGTTTAATATCAGACGGTAAAATCATGATATGCGGTTGATGATCGAAACAACCATATTTTCTCCATCGTATTAGGTCAAGTTTCAAACCGGGGATAGGTGGATATATAGGGTAGAATGTTGCTTGAGACAACACATGGTCTGCTAAACGACTCAATCTATCCATGGCGGAGGTGTTTCTACAAAAAATATTGCATTAAAATTATGATCGCATCTCCCGTACCAGAGTGGGACAATGTTTAATGCAACCAACAATTGAATCTTTAATAAATAATGAATTTCTTGAGTTTATCATTGTGTTCAACTTACGACACTTCGTACTGTCCTAGATGTCTGATAACATCAACTGAAGTTACTCCGATCTGCAGCCCGTTCGCATTTATTATACATGGATCTGGCATAGAGTACAAATTCGAGGAATACGATCCAATTTTATTCGTATTAATGGTATATTCCGGTGTCGGATAAACTGCTTCATGGTGGACGTCGCGATTAGAAGATATTAATATGACTCGCGTATGTTTCCTACGTGTAAAGATTAATGACAATTAGAGGATGAAAAACATTAGCGTGATATTCAACTTTGCAAAGGCACACTATTGCGTCAGACTATCGTATTTAGAATCTTTACTATTACGTAAGATTTTATCGGGACTTGAAAGTCTCTAATGTGTTATTGTAAAGATAATAATAAATTATGTACCCTTGCAAGTGCTGCATAATTCTTGATAAAATTTTGTCAAAGAAATCATTGAAAGAGTCCTTTAAAGTACAGTTTTTAATTTCGGAATGCATGTTGTCAATAAAAGGTCCGATCAGTATTAAAATATTGGGTTCATCTTCCACGACGCATTCTATTAAGTCCCACAAGGGCTGATAATTCAAATTGCCAGAGGTTGTAAATGGTCCAGCTGCAACGTATACTTTCAGATCTTCCGTTAACTTTGGCGATTCAGCAAGCGGCACATGGCCCTTTACAAACAATTCTTTTGCCAACAGAGCTTTCCCGGTTGCGTTAGTGCCTTCCACCACAACTATTTGCCCCGGAAAAACTGAATAGTGCTTGATTCCACTGAGATCCAACTGGATGAAAGAATCTTCGAAATCTTCTTTAGATATTATATAGCCTTCCAGAAACACGAGCTTTTTCCCGTTTAATTTATCGATCGAGGTAAATATTCTACCGTATATTCTAAACGTTACTTGGCTGATAGTCCTCATTTTCTTCACGTAACGCGGGTTTGTATCAGCGGACCCCATTTCCTTCCAAACATGGGTAAGTCGATTACCGAAACTTATACTATCGTAGTTAAGTGTGGTCACCTCTTTCGACAACGTGTCGTACATATAAACCCCATCTTTGGGCATGTAAGGAATATTAGCAATAACGATCGATACATTTTGCTCGTTCTGTTTCTTCCAAGTCTCTACGGTTTGGCCAAAGTGCAAGAGAATCTTGCCTCTGGCACTGATACTCGGGACATGATTAGGCACGCTTCTACAACAATGATTACAAACAATTCAATTACATTCTATTGTCGTTAAATATTTTATTATCGAGTTGTGTCGTTAGATACGTCGATTATCGATTTAATAAATATATTACAAGAATATTAATATTATAATACAAGAAATATACAATATATTTATATTTAATTAAGTACAAGAAATGTTTTAGATCTATAAGTATATTTCTTATCGAATTATTTATATAATTTATTTTCAAAGAATCTTTCTATAAAGTCAATAATTCTTTTATGATTTTTATTTCAAAATAATATCTGCTTACGCTTTGGAAGTATATGTGGATGGTGAAAACGTTTGAGTTACTGCACGTCGTTTACTGTCGTTTTCTGCTTCCGATGTCGGACTTCTTACCCTTTTAAGTTGCTTAAACGGAACAAATAAGATACCAAATGAAATATAGATCACTAAGAGCTCGAAAGGGTTTCACTGAAACTGTAAGATCAGAGATATTTGTTCGTGTACAAAGCTCCAAGAGAAAAACCGATCACCATAGACGAGTATGTATCTAGTCACGAAATAGAATAAAACGTGCACCACATTCATACTCGTCTATGGAATCATCTGTTTCGCATGCTCGTCGGTTTGTACAATATTACACAGTATATATATGTATATATATATACAGTATGGAAACAGCGATTTTTCATAGTCGAATTATCGATGAAGTTGCCGACGAATGGCCCTAAACGTACTTAATGAGTGTGGATCTAGTCACAGCTCAGTCATCTGTGCACTAGACCTTCACTCATTCAGCAAATTCAGGGGTGTATTGCATCCTGGCTCTTCCCTCCTCGCCGGTTATCTTTTATTCGCCGATCGTCGGTAATCTGCGAAAGGAAAATGCTTGGAACGAACGTCGAGGGAAGATTTTGAACCGATAACGTCGCAGCGGAGAAATATAAATAGTCATGGTAGCTTGCGTTCAGGAGTTCATCGCAACGAGAAGGGTTAACTGTTGTTAACCCAACCGTTCTTGCCGTTCGCTTTATTACGTATTATTTCAATCAAGTTCAGACCATTTCTTGTAATTCGCGTTCAATACCGTTAAATTGTAATAAAATCATACTTTCTTCAAAACCTTCCTCTTAAATTAACCGTCTTCATTGTTTATCATTCATTTTTTTCCGTTTTCTGTTTCAAATAAAATATTTATATTTTACAACTGCCTAGACTGCTGCCTATACAATAAAGAATGGAATTAAGGAACTCCGATCGTAAGAACAAATCGAAAGAAAAGTATCGGCAATTACACTCACGGAATCTTACGTTACATAAGTCTCGTTCGAAGGGGAGACCAGAAGTGTCGGGGAAATTCATTCGAACGATACTTGCTGTACCAGATCATGTAAAACTTTGGGTCGATCACCGCGAGGCTAGCTCTGCCCTCCCCTCCCCCTCCCCTACTGTGCCCAACGAATAACACACCGAGAAGACTATTTCTCCTTCTATCCCTCTCTCCGGGAACTAGCCGCCCCTGGCAATCCTTCGCCCCACTGTTCTCAACAAAGATACCGTGGGAAATAACGCGGAGCTTATACCAGATACAGTTGTAACCGACCGTCCACGGAAATAATCCGTTGAAGATTTCGAATTGGTTTCGGTGATGATATCGATTATTTCGTTTCATCCCTCGAACGAAAATGTTTCAAATATTTCACACGATGCGCGAAAAATCAAAGGCGAACCATAAGGTTGAAGCCAATGCAGAGAGAAAGGAGAGGGAGCGGTACATCGTTGTTGGCCAATTGCATTTAATTAGTAGACGTAAGCGACTCCCTAAGGAACTGATCTTAAGAAATCCAATGGTGGTTATACATTATAGATTCGTATCGCGCGTAAAATAAACCAATATGCAACCAGTCGTGAATCTCGCGTATACCAAGCGACCATATTTAATCGTTTCATTATCGTGTATTTCGAGGAACGCGAGATAGTACCCGGAATGTACCTGACTCATAGTATACGATGTATCCCTGTAATAACGCGGTGGAAAAATTGCTTAAAAATGGCTGTATTCTTATGCAATCAGTCACAGAAATATATATTCAATATCGTAAATTTGTAAAGAAACAATAAAAATTTTGCCCATTTTATGGACATCTTTTGTTAGTTTAAAATAAAACAAACTCTGTAAAGTGGTGATATCTTTTCTTATACGCAGGAACTCCAAACCATATATATATATGAAAAATTCACAAACAACCAGAAAAGGTATACATATCTCTTTACGTATACTTGAAGGGCACGCGTATAGATTTTTCGGACTCTCTATACGTATGTACAATTGTCTTGCGCAACTTTTTTTTATCACTTTCTGCCGAAACTATGTAGTCAAAAAAACCAGCGCCCGCCAAGTATCCAGTGCCAAAAATTATATACACGACTATCGAAGATCGCGCGAGTGATCTTGGAAGAATCGTACCAAGTATTCGTATTACACAAAGGATACACAAGAAACGTATACGTACACTCGCCTCCAATATACGTATCTGTATAAAGAAAATATTATCAGTCGGATATGCGATGTCGGATAATAGATGTAACACGACTGCGAAGAATAATATCGTGTCGGGAATCGATTGTGTACTACGTTCGAGTTATTATTCGATCGACGAAGGGACAGAGTTAGCGTGAGAAATCACGAGAGAAAACCAGCAACATCGCAAGCAGCATGTGACACGATCGAAGCAACAGGTTGTAGCGACGCGACGCTCAGGACTCAACGGAACGGTCGACGACATTCGCATCGCGCGCGCGTATGTTCACACACACGCGCGCGCGCGCACACACGCGCAGAGAGAGAGAGAGAGAGAGAGAGAGAGAAGCTTGTAATTCTCCGGTGTACATGTGTATCTCTTTCTCTCTTTCTCTCACCGTCTTTCTCTCTTGCACGCACACTGGTCCGCATGCAAACGCGTGTACAAAAAGATAGCGCGCGGGGTTATCCATAAATACTCTCGGTGTTGCGAGCATTTCTACCGTAACGATCCGCGATCAAAAAATAAGGTTCATACAACCATAAGAAAAGAAAAGATTTACCCGAAGTGTGGTACATTCCGTTCCCTCGAGCTTGATCGTTTGACACGAGACTAGAGCCGCGAGACTATCATTTTTACGGGCCTGAACCGAAAACGCAGAAAGAAACGCGAACAATAGCGGTAACAACCAGTAGCAACAGCAACAGGTCGCTGTGACGCGAGGCGTTGTACGATTGGCGGAATGACTTTCGAGTATGAAATTCACACAAATCGGATTCCATGATGGCCGACGCTCCGGTCGACCGTTTCAAGATGTAATGCACTGCCTCGCGCACTTCCCCCCTTGTTACAACATACCGCCGCGCACCAACAATTCCCTAAGAAATTGAAGACGGTTTAATGCCACGATCTGCAAGTTACGCGAACGAAAGCGAACTACACAATGAACCGGCAAACCACTCGATACACTCCGAATCCGCGTGACGCGCTGACAGACAGTTTGTGGCGTCGCCGACTCGACGCCATCGAGATATTCGAACACATGCAACGATCTTTTGCGGGAATATCAGAGAATTATCGATCCAGCGAACCGCCGCGTGATAGATTTTTCAAATGGCTATGGAACCGTCGAAAAGCACGCAAATGGAAAGAATATTTTGCTCGGAAATATCTTCGGAGAGAGAGCGCACGCGCGCATCAGGATGATAATGGAGTCTGGGTCCTTGAAAACTGAAATCGTACCCTTTGAAGAAATCTGGTCAAGCTCTCTTAGATGGAAGGAGAATCCCTCTCTACGCGATTCCAACGAGGAACGCTATCTTTTTTCCACCAATAAGAACGAATCCGACTATCCCCCTCCATGGGAGCGTGTCCTTTGTGGGAGACTGGGAAAGAAAAGGGAGGGGATAATGGCGGCGATCTACCTGGACGATTTTTGTGGCGGGAATTACGGTGCCTCGACGAGATCCTACACAACGCTTCACTTCGGGAGAAGAAACCACCTGCCTGGGAATCGAGTCGGAAATTTCACTCGTACCATAAACGCTCAACGTCGATAGTAAGCTCGTCCAGATTCAAGAATTTTTGCTTTCCAATATATGTCAACTATCCATTGACAATATAACACTGCTATTTTGTTGTAAATTCTTTAACCTTACGAACAAATAATTGATCTTCTACAAAGAAGATTAATTAATAAACGCGATCTTCTGAATGCAATACCTGATAGAAAAAAGCTAAGGCAAATAATATAATGATGTTTAAAATACGTTAGAAACACCATTATGTTTTATACAAGGTTTTTCAGAAGTTGAATTATTAGATAGAAATGTTGAATCCTCAAAGAAAATTGTTAGTTGTGAAACTATAAGCGTGATATAAGAATTGCTTGAACGTTCTTATGTATAATAAATGTGATCGTATTATTTTAAAAAAAATGAGAATCGTTAAAGAAATGAAGTTACTTGATTTATAAAGGAGCGTTATAAGCAGCGTTAAAAAACATGCTTTTCGTTACACGGAAGGCTATACGTTTCACGAAGAATTAGATTCACAGGTAGAAATCTTACGTCATTGCTACTATAGACCATAGATCGACCATAAAGAATGTGAGACAGTGTTGCCAAAGCGAGTAAATCATTGCAATGCCAAGGTTGAGGTTCCACATAGAACACATCCTTATTACGACAAACATAACAAAATTCTACATGGTTCCAAAGTAAATTATCAAATCGTTCGAAATTTCATATAATCTATCTTTCTGTACAATAAACTTGTTGGATTCATATGTAACCAACCAATATAAGAACTTATGTTCGTACGTGTGTGTCTACACAGAACGAACTGTTTATTACAAATTTTAAGAACTCGAAAAAATAATTCTTCAAGTGGAGGAAAAAATATATTGTGATCTGAGGAATAGTTTCTTGCATGTAACATTTCTCATTGTATGTTTCGGAGATTAATAAAATGTTTTGGACACTACGATCGCGACGAATTTCTATAAAGACTTCAATAGAATTGAATTAATTATTTTAAAACCAACCAACAATTCCACGAAACAATTGTACTTTAAGTAATAGTTTGTACTACTTACACGGAACGTGTAGTTTCATAAATCTGGCAACATTGTCAGAAAGCCATTACAGGGGTGGAGACCTTTCCCTCTTGAAAGAGAGAATAAGGGGAACAGGCAGCTTTTGAAATCATCAAAGTAGCCTGTTCGAAGTTTAACAATAGATCGGCGTAGACCGAAAATCTGGAGCCTTACTACCAATCGTGCTCGGTAAATATGTGAGGTGAAATATCTTCTAAGTATATTTAAACGTAAATATTACTTAAAATCGTTAAAATGTTTTCCTACTTTTTCAATAACAATAAAAACACATACCAATCACTTACATATAAAAATTGTATACTATATATAAATAAATAATATAATAAAAATGGTTAAAACAAGCCACATTTGCAAGCACATAAAATACTTGAATGCAGATTTCTTAAAGAATTTTTGATTGTGTTATGCTAAAATCTACTGTAATTTTAAAAATAGTTTCAAAATTTTTAAACTAAGTTTAAGATTACCATAGATTTACATTCAACTAAGTATTAAGAGTCATTGTATGATTTTAACTACATAATTGATCATTAAACAAAATGTTTAAAAGTAACAGAACTTACCTTTGATGCGAGACACTGTCCGGTATTGTATATGTCTAACACATTGTCACTGTTATAATAATGATATAACAGTTGCATGTAAAGAAAATATCTATCGATTATATAAAATAGAGTACTACAGATTTCAATTGTAATACGTGAAAGGATACATAACTGCTTCGTTACTTTGTACATCGATTTCCATATTTGATACTGCATGTTGAACCCCATTAATAGAATCTGTTTTATCTTTTTTCAATTTCTCTTTCTCAAATTTATGAAGATCATCAAGAGTTGGAATAATATTTAGAGACTGCTGAATACTATATACTACCCATAATTCTACAAATGCTTCTTCGTCAATGCCATAATCGTGGCAAAGCTGAAGACCTAATTAAAAATATTCTTTTTCAAATTCAGGTACTAATGATGTAGTATATATACATAGCATGCATATAATTATATATCAACGTAACATAACATTATGTACATAACATCATTCGTTTATCTTTGGATAAGGTTATAAAAAATGGTTAAGCATTTAAATATATTAAAGATATTCTATGCGTCTTAAAACGTGCACAATAACACAGAGAATAATATTAATTACTAACTAAAATCAAGCTATGTAAATATTTTATGTTAATTTCAACTTTTCTGGTCGGTGAACCTATCGAGTCGTTGATGGAATATTTATTTGTACGAAAATTTACTGCAAATTTATGGCAATACTTTAATAATGAAAATAGTTGAATGAATAAATAACTTACATCTGTCGATGACAGGTTGATCGGGAGCATCACAGCTTAAATTACGAAAACACGAAATTAACGTCTTCTTGGACACCATATTGCTTAAGAAACTACGTTCTTCAGGATTTTCCCGCCAACTCGGCGAATAGTGCACATGCGCAGTTTTACCACTCTCCTCCCCTTTCCGCTCTTATTGTAGAAATGTAAATTTCCATACACAAACTGTATATTATAAGAAACAGAATTTTGTTTGGAAAATAAATATTACAGTATTAAGTATAAATGCACGTTTTATTTTTCATAAAAGTAATCCAAAGTTGGAAATTACAAACTATAACTTTTAACTGTGTAAATGTTGCAAGGCATATACTGTTATAGCACATATAATAAAAGAGAAATGTAATAAGTAATTTTACCCACAAATGAATCAATTAACTTCAAGTGTAAAATGTTGTTTATCTTTTTCCCACAAATCAATGAGAGTCTGTGAAGTTTCCGAAGAAGGGAATCTTTCCATCCAAGACTGAATCAATCCAACAAAATTGGGTTCATAATTCTTCAATTGTACTGTATCCGAACCTGTTACATTGATGAAACAAATTAATATATATTAATAAAAAAAATTTTATAAGGAATGAAAACAATGATTTAAGTAAATACCATTTAAGAATGTATTCGATTGTACAAATATCTTTCGAGGTTCCTTATGAGCGAGAATGATATCTCTCCAGCGTGCCCATGGATGAGGTCCGGTTTCAGGTACCTCACTATATTTGTCATACATCTCTTTGGCCGCCTCGAAATCGCCAGTACTTTTGTAAACTTGCAATTTTGTTAAGAACTTTCCGATCGCTTTTTTCCCAATAGTCTGAATCTTAGACCTATCTATTGTTAATTTTAAAGTTTTGCCAGACTCAGCCTCGACTACAGTAACAAAGTCTTCTTCAGCTTCGATGCACACTCTCAGCAAAACATATCTTGCTTGAGAATGAGCTTGTAACCATTTCTTGGTAGACGGTTGATACATTTCTAAAGCCCTTGCGCAGCCGGTCCACAAAAGTGATAACCAATTGACATACATTACATCGTCGGCTTTCGAACCTTCGTGTCCCAATATACGTAACACATCTTTTTCCAAACATAGATATAATCCAACAGCTTCTGCTCTACATTCTTCGTAAGATGATCCTAATGCACCAAACTTCGAATCGTACGTTTCGCCCGGCAAGAAAAATTTGTTTACTACTTCTCCGGTTAGGGGATTCTTTGTATTTTCTTTATCAAAATTGTACGAATCTGGTCCCAATTGTCTTAACAATTTACCCGTACCGTGACCAAGAAGTTCGTGCAAACTTACTTGTACCTCAAAACTGACAAGTCTGTAAGTATTCAGTAGTGTCTGATCCTGTTCGGACAAAAATGGTACCACATCTAGCTTCATATTCCCGGGAATTACATTTCCGAGAGACACGTTCTTGAATCCCTCTAATTTTCTAATTTCCTCGTAATTCGGAATATTTATTCCATTCGGAATTCCAGATCCAGAAAATGTAAGAACGTCTAAGGAAGTAAAGTCGGGTCGTAGAAATTTGTCTATTTCGAAATCTGCACCCCAAGGAAGTTTCTGGATAAACTTCTCTGCATTGTTTACTAAACTCGCAAATTTTGCTGACATCTCTTTATTTACCATCGCTACAAATCCTTCGAATTCTGCTCTCTGGCCAGCAGGATCTCTGTAAGTTTCGATAAAGCCTATGTATGTTTCTATAACTGGACCTTTGTCCTTGATCCAAAACTGAGAACCATCTTTATGGTCCTGCAATGACCCTGTTCTAAAATGTTCTATGTATTTATTCAACATATTTTTTTCGATTTCATTTGCAGCATACTCTGTTGCCTTCTGCAAATTATCAACAACTGCAGTTAGAAGCTTGCTGTAATCCCCTCTTGTGATTTTAAATTTAGAGTTCTTAAAATCTTCTTCTGGTAATGTAATCTGAGGATCAGCATCGGTTTCCACAGAAGCTAATCTAATTTCATAGGAATTTACATTATCAGAAGTGTTTGTTTTAAAGCATCTTGCATTGTAAGATTCTAATTTTTTCTGTTGCATAAACTCATTGACCAATTCAGCATCTTTATCTGTACAATTGGCAGAGAAATATGTTGTAACTCCTTTGTCACCTAAACCTAAAGACTTCAGCTTTCCTCCTAATCCATAAGTCACATCTTGAATTTTATTCCAAATTTCTTCTACACTATTAGAATTATCCTTATATGCTTGAGAAGCTTTTACTATGGTCCCAAATTTCTCTTTGGGTAAATTTGGAATTATTTTACTGTCGCCAAAGGACTTGTAATTACCAGAATTCGAAAATATTCCACAGCTGTACACTAAGAAAGCCTAAAAATATATATGCAATTAAAAGTGGGGAAATTTGATTTAATATCGACAATTTACCGTAAATTCATCTTCGCTGACTCCAGCATCAAGCGCAGATTTTTTCAATTCTTCTATGTTTTGAGCTTTAAAAATTTTATGTAAAAGAGCAAATAGCAGCGGCGATTCGGGAGAAGTTTGTACGTACACGATAAGACCACCGCTCCATGCAGCTTGACTTAAATAATGTGCATACAATTTCTCCTTTGCTGTCAAACCATTAAATGCGGTTTCACATTCTAAGGCTACCAGTGGTTGGTTGTTTGGCAAAACATATAAAGAGGTGTCTTCAGTCATTTTCGTATATAGGTGCTTAACACTGAAATGTAAAATTACGTTTTATAATTTAACAATCCGGGATTCAAATCGGAATGTATCAGATTGATACAGCGAACCGGCGAACATATGTACTTTAGTTTACTGCTCTGTGACGAACACAGAATGATAAACAAGAAGGGAGGGGATAACTCGAGACACCTGACGACATTTGACCGTTTATCAACATGTCTGTTTATATACTGACAATGAGTCCTCCCGGCGAAGGTTAATCAGATTTAACAAATTCGTCCACGAAAAGATTATTATACGCAAATTATACACTGTGGAAATCTGTCATTTTCTCGTAGATAGTTTATACCAGGACTTGGAATTAACTAATTATTATATTAACCTTGGAATTAACAAGGCAGAGACAGAGCATTTTCGCTCTGAAATGAGATTGGATGATGCCACTCTGCAGCATATTTCAGAGCAGTCTCCGAAAATGCTCCGTCTTTGTCATGTACAATTAATTCCAAGCTCTAGTCTATACCGTGCATCATTTTCTAGTGTTTAAGGTTAACATGGTTTTTGGAACCATTAACAATGAATAAGTTGGAGGATTTGCACATATTTTATATGTATAAGTATTGTACAGTTACACGGATCATTTAGAATGCGCAACCTACCAGAAATTAAGATTTTTATTCAAATGTTTAATTTTCCTACTTGTCCATGGAAATGTTTCAGTATGGTTTTTTCGCAAAGACACACCGTTACAGAAATATCGCGCAAAATTGAGAGATATACTTTTTAAAAGAATTGTCTGCCGGCTAGCAATCGATAAATGCGAATGAAACATTGTAATTTACAACAAATAACCGAAACAACTGTAACATAATTTAATCATCGTGCTACAGTAATACCTCAGGTTTTGTACATTTTGCCCACCATTCATCCCCACCATTTTACTGCACATCCAATTCTCAGTGAATCTTGTCTTAACATTAAATCGTCAGCCAATCAGAGCAAAGCAATTTCTAGACGTATTCTCGTAACAGAGCGCGCTTCGGCCGAAGAGTCTTGCAAAACTTAAGGTATTACTGTAAAAGGCCGAACTTATGGTTGTCCCCTCATTCCATTGACATATGTTATACACGAAAGCTTAGGAGAGGGTGGACAATAATAAAATCTTACCTACTAAAATTTCCTAGAACTGAGCCGATTTCCGTTTGAACTGATACCGGTTTTCCAATTATTTCTCCTGCATTCACCTGCAATATCCTGATCACCTGACGTCTACTCTATCAACGAGTGTTATAGTCGTATAGTGTTATCAAAAGCGTTGATGCGACGTCGATGGGAGACCGGTGTCCCCACTACCATGCTTTAGGACACGATGGTGGCGGTCTATAGTGGCACTTTACCGCGCCCGATAAATTGTACAATGATTCAAATCGTATAGTATTTCCGATTACATCATACAATTTTCTTGTCTTCTACAAATCACGATACTATTTCAAATAGCTTATTTCGTTCAGTTCTTATTTCCATTGCAATATCCGGAACAATTATGTTCTAAAAGGTAGTTTTTAGTTAAACTCTATTTCTAGACTTCTGTCTCTTTTAATGTTAACAGAATCTTTAAATCCTTATCTTTAACCGTTTGAGTGCCACGTGTCTTTACTGTTTTCCCGTCCAAAAGTGCCAAGCGGCGCAAAAGCGATTGTCTTATTTCCTCTCCAAGAATGCCAAGGAGCGCTAAAGCGCTGTTTTCAGATTTATACAGTAGCTGTAATTGTTTCAATTCATTGATGTTCTGCCATCTTTCTGAACGTAAGTACAGATTTATCAGCGTCTGGGTTACGTCATATAATATAAGAATATAATTTAAATATTTTATTGCATATATAAAAGGTATGTACAGTAAAATTTTCACTATTTTTTTTGTATTTATACAGTATAATTTTTTTATATTTTTATTTGATGCCCTTCAGCAATTAAATGCCTTCTAAACGTAAGACGAGCAATATAATAGAGGATTCGAATTACGATAGCGATGATAGTGAAGTTATTATTTTTAAAAGAAGAAGGATTAATGTTATCGGCGATTCTGTTTCTGACAATAATATTTCTAATACTGGAGACATTTCAAAATATATCATGGTTACGGAAAATGAATACATTGACCAAGGCAATTCATTTCAATTCATTGAAATGTCGGGACCGCGATGCCGTTTATCTAATAGAGCCAAACCGATTGAATATTTGTAAAGTCGCGCATCGACAAAAACCGAGCGTG